TGCCAAGACATCGTTATATAGTTTGTGACGTGGTTCCAATCCAGGCAACTCACTTTTTTTTGTTTTTCTTTTTATTAAAAGTTGCTATGGCGCCTTCAAATTGTTGTGCTAGCTGTCATACTGAGCTACCAAAGAAGGATTTTTTATGCTGTCATATCTGCAAGTTAAAATACGACCTAGTATGTGCTAATGTCTCCCGCAAGCGCTTTGTTGAGATGGTCGCAAGACAAAAGGAGTCATTTAGATGTCCCGAATGCTCTAGGAAACCGACTAATGTTAGCAATGCAAAGACTCCATTGCTGACTTGTGAAAATTCCGATGGAAGCCCTCTTAGTATGAGCTCACAAGAAGCAAGTCCGGAGAGTGAACCTCCGTGCTCTGTATAAAGTAACGCAGCGAATTAAGCCGTCACACGGACCCCCTTCACAACTACCAGAACCAGAACTAGAATCATATGTCACTGAAGATAAATTGCGAGATATCTTACAACAGGAATTATCTTCAGTCCTCACTGTGACAATTAAGCGATTGGTGACATCGGAACTTAATAATCTCACTGAAAAGGTTGCTGGATTCCAGGACACAATCTGCTTCCTGAGCCGACAATATGAGGATATAAAGTCTTCTCTTGAGGAGAAGGACATCGCAATAGTGAATTTAAAAAAAGATAATGACAGGTTAAAGTCTAATGTGGCTGACCTAACGAATCGGCTAAGTTCTGTTGAACTACATGCCCGGGAGAATAATATATTGATTAATGGGATCCCTGAGAATAGGTCAGAAAATTTATTTTAAACTGTCCTTCGTATAGCCAAGACTGTGGACTGTCCCCTCACTCAAGTTGATATTCAGCACGTAACAAGGGTTGCTAAAATAACTAATAGCAGTGATAGGCCTCGGTCCGTGGTAGCTAAGTTATGTAGCCCGCGTACACGTGACTTTGTTCTGGCTGCTGTGAGCAAATTTAATAGGAAGAATCCACAAGATAAATTGAACTCTCATCATCTTGGTATTGGAGGAACTAAGAAACCTATTTTTGTATCTGAACATCTAACATCAGTTAACAATGCTCTTTACGCGGCCACACGCTTGAAAGCAAAAGAGAAGCAGTATAAATTTGTATGGGTTCGCAACGGACGAGTTTTTACAAGAAAGAACGAAAACTGCCAAGCCTTGCTTATTAAGAATAACGAAACCTTAAATCTTTTAACATAGTATAGTATAGTATATTAGATTGTAAGCTTTTTGTATCTTTAGCCTAGTAACACACTGATTTTTTACAATGCTTGAAATTTATTATCAAAACGTACAAGGGTTGAGAACTAAAACGGCAAGCTTTCTCAAATATTTGTCAACTTCTAATTATAGGATCATCGCTCTTACTGAAACTTGGCTGAAACTGGTATTTCGTAGAGATGGTAATTGACTAGACCATTATGTAGAGATCGTTCAAGTTCTACCAATACCAAATCGGATGGTGGAGGTGTCATATTGGAAGTCTCCAAAGAAATTTCTTCTTTCAGAGTTGAGGCATGGGTATCGGATATGGAGGACTTATGGGTCACCTTACATATAAATATTAATAAAATAATAAAGAAACTTTCGATATGTGTAGTATACCTACCTCCTCCTGTAAAGATTGGGACTTTGACACATTTTTAGACAGCGTTGACAGAGCTTTAAACTTAAGCGATGACGTCATTATTCTAGGTGATTTCAATCTAGGGTTCATTGATTGGACATCGTTAAATAATGAAGTTTTTATGACACCTTGTAATTATAACAATACACTTGGCTTTGCCTTGATTGATTTTATGTCTATGAATAGCCTAAAGCAATTTAATAGTATAGGTAATAGCGATGATCGTTTATTAGATTAGTATTAAGTAATATGTCTAGTATTAATGTATCAGCCCCCTCCGACTCGTTAAGTAAAATATACGCGAATCATCCTAGTTTATTGTTAAGTTTTGAATATTCTAAAATATCCTTTTTGCGAACGAGAGGTAACACTAAACTAAATTTTTATAAAGCTGACTATGGGACTCTATAATAGGGGATCTGAAAACCATTGATTGGAATGATAGCCTACGCGCTCATGATGATGTTAATGATATGGTATCTAAGTTCTACAAAATTCTTAACACCACTATAAGCAAATTTGTACCTAATACGACCATCACGAAATCTAAGTATCCGGTGTGGTTCAGTTCTTCCTTAATAAAATTACTTGCTGAAAAAGAAAAAACACGTAAGAGGTATCGAATATACAAGAATCCTCGAGACGAAATAGAGTATCACATTATTAGAAAACGTTGTCACAAACTTTATGATGATTGCTACACTAAATATAAGCGAAATATTGAGGCAAGTATTCCTAATAATCCTAAATGTTTTTGGAGTTTTATTAAAAATAGGAAAGGTGGTCACTCATCGCTTCCCTCTTGCATGAAAATGGACAATGTTACAGCCCAGTCATCACCTGATATTGCTAATCTTTTTTCATATCAATTTTCATCTGTATATACTTGTGATGAATCACTTGTTGGCAGTTCCACTCCAGACGACATTGGCAATGTTGACGGCCTAATGTCCCTTAGCTTTAGAGAGGATGAAATATCTAAGAAAATAAAAGGTCTTTATACTAACAAAGGAGCTGGGCCAGACTCGATTCCTCCTATCTTTGTAAAACGATGTAGATTTGTGTTATCTTTGCCCCTAACTATTATTTATAATAGATCTCTTAAAGATGGTGTTTTTCCTGAAGTATGGAAAAGGTCTCGTGTTGTACCTGTGTATAAAAAGGGAGATATCACCGACGTAAAAAATTACCGTCCTGTTTGTATTTTATCTTGTTTTTCCAAGCTCTTTGAGTCTGTCCTGTATCCCGTAATCTCCAAATGTTTAGAAGGCTGTATCATTGATGAGCAACATGGTTTCAGAAAAGGCCGTTCAATTCAAACGAACCTCATGTCTTTTGTTACTGAAACATGTCAGGAATTAGATCGTGGGCGCCAGATTGATGCCATATATACTGACTTTAGCAATGCCTTTGACAAAGTCAGTCACGCGTTACTGATTCAGAAGCTTCGTGGTTATGGAATGGGAGAGAATTTGCTAAACTGGTTTAGGTCCTCGTATCTTCGTAACAGGCCTCAGTCAGTAGTTGTTGGAGGCGCTGAGTCTACTCCCTATATTGCGCGATCTGGTGTACCGCAAGGATCTCATTTGGGACCGTTGCTATTCTTACTATTTGTAAACGACGTTAAGAATCATATAAAGCACTGTAAAGCGTCTCTCTTCGCTGATGATTTAAAAATTTATAAAGTTATTAACACTGTCTGTGATGCTGCTCTAGTTCAAAGTGATCTTAATGGTATACAACATTGGTGCTTTTTAAATGGTATGATCCTCAATATAAATAAGTGCTTTCATATTAAATACACAAGAAAAAAAAACCACTTGTTACTGTGTATAAGCTTGACGGCGCGCCATTGAAGGAGGTTCAGGAGTTTCGTGACTTGGGTGTTATTATTGACAAAAAATTAACGTTTACATCGCAGGTCAATAAAGTAGTCACCACATCCGCACGAATGCTTGGATTTCTTAAACGGAATGCGGATTGTTTTGGTTGTACGACTAAAACAATTTTGTACAACGCTCTGGTGCGCAGTCATGTTGAGTTTGGTAGTATTATATGGAATCCACTATATGCGATCCATTCGCAACGCGTTGAAAGCATACAAAGATCTTTTACGCGACACCTAGCTTTCATAAGCAGAGGATTTTCACATAGACAACCGTACCATCAGCGACTTAAAAAATTTAATATGTTATCTCTTAACAATCGGAGAGCTCTAGCCGGTGTTACATTCTTGTATAAATTGCTCAACAACCATTTACAGAACAGTGACCTTTTACAGGAAATCAAATTTGTCGTCCCTTACTCATTCCCTAGGTTTAAAATCAACAATATATTCCAAATTCCATCTGCCAAAACCAACCTAGGAGTTCAGGCACCTCTCGTTCGAATTCTTCGCGATTTCAACAAATTGTACACAGCGTATCCAGAGCTGGATATATTCGGTAGTGGGCTGATCGGTTTTAGAGAAAGCATTGTGGGGTGCCTTTCTAGAACCTAATTTCGCTGTTTTTCTGATGATTTTTCTTTTTTTTCTGCACATAGTTGTTGAAAATTTAATTTAATTTTATTTTATTTTATTTTATTTTATTTTTTTTTATTGATTAAAAATTGATTTTATTTTAATGTGTGCTTGCATTGTCGTGTGTGTTTTAGTTGTATTTTTTTTTAAATTTCTATTTGATTTTTTTACTGAGAAACTTATGCTTGCATTAACTGTCACACATTTTAGATGTGGGATTGTGGAATAGTTGGTGGACTTATGACTGTGTGTGATGTTGTGGGCTTGATAACTAAATAAATAGATAAATAAGTAGTTACGTCATTTGGAACCTTGAAACAAAATATTATAATAGGTTACATTTGGTAATATTAAAAATACATTATAATCATAATGATATTATGATAATCGTTATAACAACGCAACAAACGATTTTAAAGTCAAGCGTTGACCATATTTTAACGTATTTTTATAAAGAGCTACAAAATAAGTTTTATTATTAATTAAATTTATATTTAGGGTGACAATATTCGTTAAAAATAAAAATTCTCATTTTAAAGATCTATTAAATTTAATCTAGGCAAACATTTTCATTATTTTAAATATCTCAGGAAACACATTTAAAAAATAAGCTATTACAGAACCACCAAAAAATATCAACCAAGATATTTTTGATCAAATAGGTTCTACTTTAACGAGGTTTTTTGTCACTATATGTAATTTCTTGACTGTTGCTATGATTGCAGACAAAAAGTACTTCGGCCAGTCCACAATCTGACATCCACACAATTTCATGTCAATTGTGTGCCGATACTTATATTAATTATTTATAGTTGCATATTTTTCACATTACGAAGTATGTGTAAATATAGTGATCGTTTGATAGGTAAAGTGGTTATTATAACTGGTGCAAATACTGGTATCGGCTTCGAAATAGCGAAAGATATGGCTGAAAGAGGTGCTCGAGTGATCCTTGCTTGTAGAAATGAAACAAGAGCAATGGAAGCCATTAACGAAATAAGAAATCAAACACACAACGAAAATATCCATTATTTGCATCTGGACCTTGCCTCTCTTTCGTCAGTCAAAGAATTCGTAGACAAATTCATGAATAAAGAGGAGCGTCTCGACATTCTCGTAAACAACGCTGGCGTGATTACTGGAAGCGACGAAAAGACAGAAGACGGGTTATCAACGATGATTCAATCTAATTATCTGGGCCACTTCCTTTTGACAGTTCTACTTCTACCTTTACTGACGTCATCAGCCCCGAGTCGTATTATAAACTTTTCATCGGTGACCCATAAATTTGTAAATATTCACCCAGATGATTTATTCACTGTACCAATAAGAAAATCGTATACAAATAGTATTTGGTATTTTAAAACGAAGTTATGTATGGTACTTATGACAAAAGAACTAGCAAGACGTTTGAATAACACCGGCGTCACTGTAAATTGTTTGCACCCAGGAGTAGTTAAAACTAACATAATTAATAATATAGACATCAAGTTTGTAAAAACCATTATTAATGCTGCGTTATCCTGTTTTAAAACCCCAAGGGACGGAGCTGAAACTGCGATTTATTTAGCTGTTTCACCGGAGGTGGAAAAACACAGTGGTGGCTATTATGTTGATTGTAAATTGGCGAACACTAGCCGTCGAGCCCAAAACCCTGATTTGGCTCGACAATTGTGGGAGGTTTCCGAAAGATTAGTGGGCATAGAATGTAAATACCACTAAATATATGATACTTACTGAATAATCTAGTAGATAAGTTTCTTATCATATCTTCTATATGTGATTTGGTTTTAGTTGTAATTTTACCTGCAAGGTGACAAATGGTAGGAATTCAACGAAATTGAATTTACATAAGCAAATGTTTTGCTTAAGCATTTTTGCAACAGCGATTTTTTATTATATTTAATAATTATGTAAATAAGTACATTTTAAAAATTATGAGTTTTTTTTCTTAATAACAAAATAAATCATAAATAAAATTTAACCTACTAACTATTTGTTATTGATTGATTATAGAGTTAAGTAAAGTAAACAATAGTATATATTATAAATTATCTAATATCAGTAGCGCAATAAAAAATATATTTCGTATTTAAAATGTACGTATTATTGAATTGATAAAATTTTGTCTTAACCATGTCAACGGTCTTTAAATTCGATAAATCTTGTTATATATCTTTAAGACGGAAGTTTTAATTCAGTGTCGCATGTCCCGTGACGGTCGGCCGCGAAGTAGGGATAAAGTGAAAGGCGCTCGTCATAGCAGCCAAGGCCAATATGGCGGCGCCTATAGTTCAAAGCAGCTGACCGTGTAGACTGTAGTGTTTAGACTATTATTTAATATGTGTATATAATCTAAATAATTGTTATTAATATGTGAATATAATCTAAACAATTGTTAAGTATTATGTATGTCGTACTCTCTAAGACACAGAGTTAAATAAAAATATTAGTTGGAGACTTAGTCTACTTTTATTATTTCCCATTATCATTCCAATTTTCCATGTATAAAATTAAGATTGATAAAGCGATTTTTATACCCTTATTGAAATATTATTCCAATTTTTTTTAGTTAAATGTCTATAATGTGAAAAAAAGTTTCACTTTTATCGTGGTTTCATAAATCCACACAATCCTTTTTTTATACTGAAAACTTTAACTGTGGATTGAAAATGTATGTAAATAAATGCTGTATGTAAATTAATGTGTCAAAAAAGTATATTTAAAATATATATAGATCAACTAGTTAGGATTTCCGAAAAACTTTTTCATCGCAGACCCGTACAATAAATAAAACTATCTAATCAAGGCCTGGTACTTTAAATTATACACTATTGAAGTTTTTCTTTCTACCAACACTTTAATTAGCATCTGCAGGCGTGGCCTAATGTTGTCGCGACCTTTCTTTCAACCCAAATATATTAGCACTAAAGTAACGCATTCTATATCTGTGGTCATAGATCAGACAATAAGTACTTTCATTCATATATCGCGAGTTTCATATTTAAATAGTGCCTTCAAGATTTCTTAATAATTTAATTGCTTGTCCTGTAAAGTAATGAAATTGAATTTATCATATACGGACCTATATATATTTTACACAGATATATTTTATGGTATTTAAAATTAAAACCTCTTTTCTACAACTGCACATAATCACTCTGGTCGAATTCATTCACAGTAGACAGATGCCCTAGCAAATTCACAGCGCCAACTTTGGCGCTCTGTCATGAAAGTGTCAAAAACTTAAAATAAATTTTCCGTTTTAATTCATTATCCGCCATGAATCGAATGGGAGACAGTGTTTTATCGCCCTCATATTTCTTGGATTGTCTTAAACTAAACGAAAACTGTCCGTTCTTCTCGGGGAGCGATCCAAAATTATACTACTTCGCTGTTGGTATGACAGCTCTCTATATGTCTCTCATAGTAACGGTTCTCTGCGACCTGAAGTTCAACTGGAGCGTGAATAACTTGTTCTGCCAGGTTGATAACTGCCTTAATTTTCTTAAGAAGAAAATTCGAGATGTACAGGTCAACCAGCGGCAGCTTGTGAGCACTCAAGAGAAGGCAGAAAAGCAACTCAAACAAAGCAACAGATACAACAAGATGGTGTCAGTGCTGAGATTCAATATAGCACATCATCCCAGTAAGGTATTCTTCTTTGAGCAAAACCAAGGCGAGTCTAACAGTGCAGAAAATTACAGCGAACAAAATCATATTATAGATTTCACAGAGGAGGATGCAGAATTTACTTTTTAATTAAATTTGATCAACATCAAGATAAGTACAATACATTGTTGCACTAACACGGGATAAGATAAAATCAATAAGGGCAGATGCAAAAATACACCAATTTTTAAAGAATGTTTTGTTTTTTTATCATAAATTCCTAAGAATTTATTCAATATATTCCTTTTATCGTTTTTCTTTACAGGCAAAAAGGTGATCAGTCCCGTTTATCACCAGTCGTAGATATTTGGCTCTGTCATGGTGGGTTCGTCACGATGTATTTGTTAACTTCATTGTAAGTACTTTACATACAAAGTAAGCTGTCACTAAATACACTTTAATCAGGCATATATAAAGAAAAATCTTATTAAACGCTCCTCCTCAGAGTTGTGACCCTACTGCGACTTAACTTCAATTAAGGGATCTGGTTAAATATAGACGTTTTCTTATTTTAGTTGACTTACGGGTAGTCTCGCAGGTTTTTATAGCAACCGTACAAAAACGTGTACCATAAAAACTGTTTCATTAGACTATTTTAAACACTTCATAAGTAATGATTCTTTGTATACATAAACTAGTTTTTATTAAAACTCTTTTCCCTAGTTAAAAATAGTTTTTACTAAATCCTTTCAAAAAGAAATAACAAGTAAAATAGAATTTACCACTATATATTCATTTTCTATAAAACTATTGTCACTCCAGCTTTAGTTACAACTAACTAGAAAATAATTTGATTTTGGGATTAAAACAAATAAAGTTTTAAAAATATTTATTAAAAAGATCTAGGTAAACTTCCTACCTATAAAAAACTTACACTAAAGAACATTTTAGAAATCACTAAATAGTTCCATACAACATTAATTAAAAGTAAATAAAATAATCAAACAAACACATCTAAATTTAAATATAACATTATATAATATTTTTAAGGATATTGTAAACATACAATAAAAAAATAATCAAACAACCTTAAAATTAAAAAAGATGACGATCTATTTTATTTAAGACAAACTATCTGCATTTTCAATTACAAAGGTAGCCATTTTCTTGTAGAGAACCTTTTACATAATCCTTTCTTACATACGCACCATAAATCCCTGGCTTTCATATGGATGCTTCCTTAGCAACAGTTCTCAGAGGTAAATTTGTATTCGGAACGTCTTCTTCATGCAAAAACAGTTTTAATGACTAACTTCGAAAAACCTTAGTAATAACAGTATAATGATATTCAATTGTGAGCATTAGTTAATTCTAGTTTTAACAAAGGCGTTTAGTAAGTACGCGTTCGAACTAGGAATAACGCGTTCTATCTAAAAACGGTTTTAACTGTAACATATATAAAGATCATATTCGTTAACAAATATTGCATATCATTTATGTATTGTAAACAGTATACATTTACCTTCTGCCTTTTGTGCCTTCTGTGTAATATAGCAACAGTGTTTATTCAACATTGATTTCACCCTTTGAATGCTACATTATCCCTCAGTGGGAACCTACTTTTATTTACAAAATATATGAAAACTACACTTCCAATTCTAAATCTTTTCCTACAATTGTTTGAACTCGGTTAAAAATAATTCCAACCGTATGCAGCTAGGACAGGCCGCTAGTTTAATTTAAGATATATCGTCAAATGTCAGTTTACATGTTGACTGAAGTATGCACAAAGTTAAACGAATTCTAGGACAGGAAGAGGCACTGGTTAAAGTTAAGCAATTAAGAAGAGTCTAAGCGGCGAGATTGCATGAAACCAACTTCATGTTTTCCATTCCGAAAACTATCTTCATTACACTGGCTGTACGGGATGCAATGTTTTCCAACCTTACATATCAACCCACTGAAACTACTTTAAGTTTCAACTCGACACGTTTGTCAACACTGCGCTAGTATGGCACGATAAGAACTTCAGTTACATAAGTCATATGGTTATTTTTGATGGTCCAGCCAAATTAGAATGCTTCTTATTTTACAGTACGTTTAAAATCTTAAAGAGATTTTTGTCCTTTATTTATTTATTTACACTTTGTTGCATTACAATATAATAATTTAACATTATTAGTAAAGGAGGGCAACTGGCGGCCTTATCGCCTTCGAGCGATATCTTCCAGGTCACGACTGTGAGAAAACAAAAATGTATTAGATAAGGTAGGCAAGAAGTGCAAAAATTAAACACGAACAAAAAACAAACTAAACTAATAAAGCATACATGAAAAATAAAAAGTAAAAAGTGCACATGAATCATAATAATTTAATTTAATTTAAATTTAATTTACGATCAGTCTCACGTCAGTTAGTACGAAAGTTAGGGATACGATGTGGACAGGTAATATTTGTACAGAAGAAATTTAAAGGAAGATAGAGAAGGAACTAAGCGAATAGGGACCTTTAATAAAAAGGATATGAAAATAAAACCGGTCAAGCCTAAAAGCAACTTAAAAATATAATATACGCCAAGTAAAAAATTCACGTACTGGTTATTGAAAATAATGTAAACACTTTTTATACTATCAAAAATATTATTCATACTCTATCCAAGAATTCCCAAGTTATCTCTGATATTTATACGAATGAAAGTATGAAAATTTTACCGAAAAATTTTCGTTTAATATATCTCGGGGTTAGAGTTCTTGTGAGATGACGACCTCATTTGTTAGTGGACGTTAGGCGCCCAGGAGTTGGACCCGATCCAACCACTTCCGACCAGATTAACTTTTTATTCAATCCGAACGCCACTTAGGGATACGAGAAATTTAATTAAAACAACATTTTCTTTACATCCTTTATTACCACACGAACACTTTCATACATCCCTAATAAATACCTATCTGTTAATTTTATCCAAAGCTTTAGTTTTAACTTATACAAACACTTAAAATAATATATACATTTTACACTAATCGGTTACAATTTTGAGACCTTAATGACGGCGTAACAACACAGTTAAAACGAAAACTTAATATAAAACTAACAAACACAGCCATATGAATAACAATTAAAAATTTAATGACCAACGACAAATCAACGCTTATTAATTAATTAACGGTAACAATTTTAACAAACGATCCAAATTATTGGTAACAGTTAACGATATAACAATAGAGCGTAATTACCATTTTCGTCCCTAAAGTAGGTATTGATGAAGTTTGCAAAGTAAATGTTAAAACATTATGCTTAAATACGCTGAATGTGTAAAGTGCTGCGCTTATATGAAACAATTTAATTAAGGTCACATTATCTCGATAATTTTATCGAAATACTGTTATAACCGAATTTATTGAAATTTAATAATACTATGGAATATAGAGGGCGAAAATAGTCATTAAGCATTAATAAATAACATTATTATCGTGAATATAATACTTTAAATTCATATTCTTACTTTTGTAACATTACGCTACACTTAGTTGATTTATGAATGCGTTGAACATATAATTTTGTTCTATATTATAAACACGATAAAACATTCTTCGGCGGTTAATTAACCACAAAAGAAAGAAACAATTAGGCACTTCCGAAGGCACTTGGTGAAGAATATCTCTTAAGTGTTTTTACCCAATATTAAATCTAAATTAACGAACATTATTGTAATGATATTAAAACTTTAATGAACGAAATTTTTATCCAAAACAAAAAATCAACGGTAAAACAGTTAAATCAACATCAAAATTACAAAAGAAAACAAAAATTCAACGTTCCACAGATTAACGATTTAAATTAATACTGTGTTATTTATAACAGCAACATAGAAACAACAACGTTATTTGAAATTGATAGAAACAAAACGAAAATTCAACAAATTAACGGAAACGGAAATGGCTAAAAACGGAATAAAAAAACAAAAGTAACCAAACGATAACCAGACCAGCTGGTGTTCACAACAATTTGGGAAAACTTTGCTCATCAATATTATGTTTAATTTAAAACAATTCAAACTTCACGAATTAGGAAACGAAGCAGTTAATACTGCATTGTATTTGGTCGTTCTCCTATTGGTCTTGAAACGTAAACTTAACGTAACAACGAAAAACTCAACTATTAACTCATAACTCAAACTTAACCCAAGTTAGCTTAACAATTCTTTAACCATCAAAATTTTGCCGTTTATTTTTAACCAGAAACAATTATCAACATTAAATGAACACATGCCAACAAACACATTTGATAGTAACAAAACAAACAATGATGAAGCAACATTAAACTTAATCAAACAATCTTTTGTTTTTTTAACTCAACATGTTTTACGATTTTAACTAAAACTTAACAAAAACTAACCAAATGAGATAATTAACAATTAACGGTGTTTAACAGAAACAGTAACAAGGGAACTGAGAACGAGCGTAACAGGTTAAATAAAACTTAACTTGGCAGTTGAAACTTGAAAAACAAACAAGACCGTGCATTAAGGCGAAATAGAGAAGTGTTAATCAAAAAATCATATATTAAACGCAATTTCACACGTTGAATTAATCCTAGACACACGATAAAGCCTATGCTAATTTTAGGTAAATCTATAGCTCCGGTGATTCATAACGTTTAGCTAACATTTTAGCCAAAACACGTACCTTTCGGTCGATATATGCCACTGGACCACTGTGCATTTTAGGCATTACAGCTTAGCTAGTAGCTTAAATAGCCATATCTGAAACAATCAAAAATATTTCATTAGTATTGTACGTTAGTATTGAAACGACAGTATTTGATAACGTTATCGCAGCCTTTACTAAATCTAACACCTTTTTTGAAACCATTATGTAGGTGATAAGGAAATATTTACAGTAATAAGTAGTATACAACACATAAAGCATGAATAAATTATAATAAAATAGCAGTTTAAATTACGGTTGAATAAAACACGACTTCAGAAATATTAAAACTTGCATCATTCTTATTAGCACTCTACAAAGAGAAGCCTTTGTAGCGAAAACAACAAGAAAGTGAGAAGTGATAAACTTTACTTACCAATAAATATTCTGGAAAGTGTTCCCGAAACAATCTCCAAATAGACTTACGAAGATGTTTTCTACGAA